AAAAAATAAATAAGTATAAAAATGGGTATCATATCAAAGAAGAAAGAAAAATTTCGAGAACCAAAATGTAGTCAAAACATATCCATCCTCCTCAAAAATTAGAAAAAAAAATTATGTAAACGTATTACGTTAGGTGGGTAGGTAGGTGAGTAAGTAGGTAACTTATCCCAACATTCAACATCAGAATCTGTTGATGCAGTAGAAACTTATTCTCCTTCCCTAAATGCTTGCCCAAGAGGCATTTCTCCCAAGAAACTATGGCCGTGCCGTCTTAAATTGAGAACCGTCCGTTTCCAGTTTCCATTTCCGTTATTTGCTCCATCCTTTCCTAATACCATCCATACCTTATGGTATCCCGTTATCCCTAAAATTGAGAAAATGACAATTGATAAATGAGATTCCGTTTTTGTGTATGTGGTGTGGTCATGAATCGAAGAGAAAAGAAAAAAAAAGAAATAAGAAACAAGATTATGAACGGGCATATTACGCATTAAACAGCACCCTCTTCACCCTCCAAAACCCTCCTCGCAGCATCCAATCTCCGTCTCCATATTCTCGAGTCATAATTTCCAGCTTCGGTGTTCTGTAAACCCAAAACGCATTTGCCCACACTAGCGACTAATCGCTCAACAAGAATTTGGTCGTCAGAGGAAAGCATGTAGACCGGTGATGGCTGTGTATTGTTGCGGTTGTTTTCGAGGGATGTGGAGCGCGCTGGGTGAGAATCGGTGCTGGAGGCGGTGCCTGGTGGGGTGAAGGTATTGGGGAGTTCTTTGGGCTTGGTTGAGAAAGGGAAACTACGGGCTGTGCTGGTGGACGCGGCGGAATCGAGGGAAAGATTTCTGGAGTGTATGCTGGGTCTGATGTCGATATCGTATAGTCCAGAGCCTCGAGCTATTCCGATATCGTGGTAGTCGTTGATTATGGTATTTGTGGGTAAAGAGCCGAACGTGGACCGTTTGGTCGCAATGGGAGTGCCTGTCGTTGGCTTGTAAGGAGCGATTGTAGGCGAGTCGGGGGTAGCGACCCCGCGAGTATCGGCAATAGGGACTGTTAGATCGAAAGGATCCTCATCATCTTCACTGTCTTCGTCCTCGTCCTCGTCAATGCTTGACTTGGCAGTTGCAAAAGTGGCTAAACTAGAGATCGAAGTTTTGCTATCGGATCTAAGATGCACAATGGATGCTGGTTGACTAGGCCCATGGCCATTCTCCACAAGAGGCATTGGAGCTGTAGGCCCCCGTGTAGTTTCTACAGAATCCTCTGAGCTGATACTGCCTCGCCTTTGTCGACTCATCGTACCCATCGCGCTGTGTAGGAAGAAATGTTCGTAATCGAATGCATCTTCGCGATCCTCATGTGATATCTGCTCAGATAATGATTCGTGATATATTGATGCATCAGTATTATCTTCTTTGTCACATTGGTTTAATGCTTCTGGCTCATCATCACTGTAGCTATCGATACTCGAAATTTCGGACTCCTCTGAACAAGTATCATAACCTTCCTCTTCCACTCTCGGTGTTTGATTCTGACGTGGGCTCGCTAGCTCCGGTGAATTCACCCGGCTCTCACCAACATCCTCATATATGCTCGTAGCGTCCGATTCAGCATACTTTGGAGCTTGTCTCGTAGATACTTGAACCGATTGTACGGTATTTATATCCTTCGAATGATCATCACTTTGAACTTCATTCGACTGACCATGATCTACGGCTGCATCTGTTTTGGCAGCATCCTCTTGACCATTACCACCTCCACTATACCACTGTTCTCCTGCTGTGAATGGACTAGGCGTACGTAAACTTTGGAGACTGCGGCGCTTCATGTTATCATCTCTAGCACGATCTCGCAGCATTGATAATCTTCCTTTCAAGTCATGCATTTGATGCTGTATATCATGCATTCTCATGCTTGAAGTTGACGAAGAACGACTCAAGCCATGCACTTCCCGTGGAGTTGCATATTCTCTATCAGTATCAGTCCAGCCATTAGTCCTGTTGTCGAACTCAGGAACTCCATCCTCGGCTAACGGTTCAAGATGCGATGCTAGCAAAGTAGGAATTTTGTTATGTGGCGAAGATTGCCCGGATCCTGATGGCCTTCCATTTTCATTGCTCTCCTCCTGAATTACTCCTGGAGAAAGTGGTGATGCTGAATTTGCTGCGTGCAATCCCATACCACTTCTCGCTCTATATGTAGCTGCCGCGCTCGAGGCGCGAACTGGAAATGCTGTTGCTCGCGAAGGAGATATATTATTTTCGCTCCAGACCCTTGAATGGCTAGGACTTGAAGATGTCGAATCTGTATGATAATTGGAAAACGATCGTTGTCTCGAAGGTATACCACTCATGCGTCGATCGATTTTCAAAAGAGATGGATTGGTTAAAGGACTACTGCTGTAAATCGAAGGCATGGAAATAGAGGGCGTTACGTAAAGAGAGCTTCGCGCTCGTGTTAAATTCCCTTCCATGTTCTAAAAAGAGATTGTCAGTATATATATATATATATGTATGAGCCTAGTTTTGAACTTAACATAACTCACATTAAGTCGACGTTTGGCATTCAATAAAATTTCTTCCGCCCTCCTACTCAAAGCTGCACTCGAATTCTGATCATCTTCCCCCTCTCCAATACTTCCTTCACGGCGTGATAATCTGCGCGTCTCCTGTTCAAAGAGTTCTTTGCGATAATGATCTGTATAAGATTCCGCGACACTCTCCTCATCATCACCCTGGAAATTACTATCGTCCACACTAACTGCATCATCGACATCTCCAAACATGGCAGATTGTGGTTCTGAAGTAACGGTACTTGTAGATTCCACTGATATTTTTCTTTCGTGTGTTCCAGTCTTGGTTCCTGATCTCCTCAATTCATGACCCAAGGATGTTGAACTTATTCGATGACCGTTTTGAAATTGCTGCTGCTGCTTGATAAACCTTCGCTCGGCAGGACCAGGTAACTTCTTTCCTCCTGGTGTACTTTCCGCCTCTGTAACTTCGCCTATATCAGATAACATTGTTCCATTCCCGTATATAATTGGTGTAGTTGGTGTCCTAGGAGGCGTTCCAAGTAAATGATCGGAACTACTCGTAGTGGGTCGTTGCGATTGCCATGCATCCCCCGACAAGGAAAGAGATTGAAATAATGTATGCCGTGATGAGAAATCGGAGTCGTAACTCAATTCATTATGTAGCGGAAGTATCATATCTGGTTCAGTAAGTGTTGGACTTTGTGAACCAGATTGAGGTGGATAAGTCATGATTGTTGTAGTACTGGAGAATTGACTCTGCATGATGACCTAGTACATATGAGGCGCTACCACGAGAGCAAAATAAATAAGTTTTTTTTTTCGCTCAGAAAATGGGAATTAGAAGTAATGTTTTGATTTATGTGTGAAGGATTCGGCGTTTGAACGGTTTTTGGCGCAAGTAATTGTTATAATTATTGGTCGGCGATTGTTGATATGGTTGGGTCTTGCGGTACCTATATTAAGGTTGATGGATGGGTAGTACTAGGTTGGGTAGGATTCGGGATAAGGGGCCATTCGTTCGTTTCGTTTTCTATATCATGGGTCGTATGAGGTGACAGCTAATTCACATTCATACAAGTGAGTGAATAGTTACAAAATTTGACGGATTGGAGATTTCAGGAGAAAGAAAGACAGGAAGACATCGATAGAAAGGGAGAGATATATTCTATGAATCTATCTAATAATGCATCATGGTATGCAGCAGCAGTTCGTTTGCATATCCCACGAACGTCTAATCTACCTACCTAGTAATTAATCCTGGCACTTCTTCACAGTGAACGGATCACTATTCGCACTGAGATTAGTCTAATGGAGATTTAATTGAGTTACTACTAGAATTAAGTTCCACAGCTTAATTTCCCATTTTTACCAAGGCTATATGTGTTTACAGTGTTTACTATTGCCGGTTCTTTACATACTTTTCCGAAGATCTTCACCGGTAGTGTTTTTGTGGAAGTGGAAGTAGAAGTAGAAGTAGAAGCGGTTATTTCAGGATAACTGTTCTCCCATCTATCCGTTCTCTCTTATTGAATCAATTATCCATAATGTGAAAATGAAGAAGATGGGGAGAGTCAATACAGCATTTCATCAAGTGACCGGCCATTTTAAGGTACAGGTGCAGGTACAAGGCACAAGGGCACAAGCACCTGTCATTCCGGGCTATAAAATACCTAGCCTTGACAAGTTCCTCTCAAAATCCTTGTAGGAAACATACCTTTGTGTAATATATGTTTTTACGCTAATCTATCTTATATACTCAAGATAGTCAAGGGGTATTGAAATTTGGTTCCATAGAAAGATAAAAGCAAATCAAATTCTAGAACTTCAAGAAAAAAACATACGAAACTTCGATCAACCATGATCATCAGATTCACAGAACAAGATTACTCATTATAGTATCAACTACATACTAGAGAAGACAATGCCCCCAACTTTCATCGCCAATAATATGTCAAGGGTACCTATATACGCATCACCAAAAGACATGAATTCAAGAGTCGACAACGGCTTGACCCCTAATGACAATCCGAGGACATTATTACTCAACCAACATTGCAACTTATCTTACTTGCATTAGATCTTCAGATAAGACCATCGAACAAGACAATTGTACAGTAGAAAGATGAAATTATATCAACAAGGCTGAATTCCGAAGAAATATCCTCGGAATAAAGGGGAACTCCGCATATTATAATACAGGGGAAGCGAAGATTAGTTGCGGGGTTGTAATGATATACACCGTACATAGTTTCTATTGTGCAGTGCAGGTAGTAACGATCACCCTTAAAAATTCCGATTTCCTGAAGTCATGGGGATCAGATCGGGGCATTTCTATGATCTCAGCGGATGACTCATTATCAGTAGATTCCGCATGGAAGGTGGGAGTGATGCATGGGAGTTTTGCATGGGAGTCATAAGTTTATACTCTATATACTATTCAACGACGCCTTTTCTATGACATATAATTCTGACAATATCTGTATACTTATACTCCAACAAGTCGATACAGATATTCCACTTAGGACAGGATTTCATATCCATACAGTCTTCTCATCCTCATACCACATACCAAAAGAAAGGACTCTATTACCGTATATCACACCAACACCAACACCATGACCATGACCCAACCCTCCTCCCCCACCTCAAACTTCTCCATCCAACCATGCACGCACTCAGATCTCCCCGGCATGCTATCCGTCTACAAAAGCGCCTTCCAAACCGACCCATTCCGCCTTGCCCGCTGGCCCGAATCGCAAGTGCCACACTCAGTCTTCGATACATGGCTCACCAACATCTTCACCAAATACCTCACCACTCCCCACACGCAATGTTGGAAAGTAGTCGAAGCGTCGACCGGCCATATAGCAGGCTGGACGCATTGGGCCGAACCGCATACAATGAGTGACGAGGAAACAGCCCAGGGGAAAAGAGAAGATGAGCAAGAAGAACGCGAGGGGAAGGAAAGGGGAGAGCCTGAGGGGAGGTTCCCGGTGGGTTCGGTGATGCATGTTTGTGAGGCGAAGGTTGAGGGTTGGGATGATTTGAGGGAGAGGTGGTATAGGAAGGAGGATATGTATTGTATGTCACGTTTCTTTCTTCTTCGTTCCGGATGTCTAGTTCTATTTCCTAAATTTGCTAAGCTCTTACTTTGAAACTGTTTGTCCTTTCTTTTGGAAGCCCTCTCATTTTGACGTATAAAGAGTAAATAATCTAGGCCAGGCCCATCACATCAATTTCACCCCTCACACCACTATCTCGTGTGTATTCTCATACTTCCCAAACGCATTTCCCCTCTCCCCCCAAAAACACACCTAACACCCCATCTAATACACCCCATCTAACACCCCTCCCTCTCCCCACAGTCATCCATTTCCTCTCCATCTCCCTTTCCCACCAAAACCTCGGTCTCGGCTCGCTCCTCCTCACCGCCATAACCCAAGTAGCCGACGCCAACACCGACACCACTGCACAGCAGAAGCCGTACCCGATATATCTGGAAGCCACGGTTGCCGGATACCCTGTATATGTGAAGCATGGGTTTGTAGAGAAGGGGGTCATGGAGGTGGATTTGGGATTTTATGGAGTGGGGCGGAATTGGGCTATGGTGAGGGGAGTGAGGATAGTGAGGGGTAGAGTGGTGGGAGAGGAGATGAGAGGGGAGGAGAGGAGGAGGGGTGGTTATAGTGATTGATATTCTTTATCTAATCACTTAATCACTCAACCACACAACCACACAATCTAATCAAACAATCGAAGCAAAGCATGCTGCATACCTACCTACCAGCAAGTATTCAATAATCAATCTTACCAATACTCGAGTACTGAGTAGACTAAGTAATAAGTACACGAGTGAAAATTCATTCTGATTCCATATCTAGCATCTAGCATCTAGCATCTAACATCCAAAGAAAAATAAACGAATAAAATAACAAGAAGAGAGGGACTATAACCTTACAGATTGCAAATCTGGAATTTTGAATTTGAAATCCCTGCTTGAGCTTTTAATTTTCATATTGTCTTGTTTTAATGCTAACTTCCCTATTCTGATGTGTTTATAGGTAACTTCTCTAATTTCATCTCTCTTTGACTCTTTCTCCTTCGCTCTCACCTGTATATGTATATGTATAAGAATTTCCCTCGGGCTATATACCAATATTCCGCATATGCATCTTGCCCATCTCTCTATCTCTATCATTGCCATCCATATCCCTATCTCTATTGTTGCCATCCCTCCCACCCCCACCCCCACCCCACCTATACCCCTCTCGCCTTCTCGCTCTCCCTCAACACTCAACACTCAACACTCAAAGCCGCATGATTCTTCATGTACAAGTACAAAGTAATCTTACAAAGTTTATGTTTATATTACACATACACATACACATACTCGAGTAGATAATATAATCTGTTAGTTACAGTATATATCGAACCATGGAAACTTCCAACTTCTGCAAAGTTCTGTATATATATCTCCGACCCGAGAATAGAATAACGAGAAGAGAAGTTGTGATTATCAGCCAGTGTCACTACATCACACCTACAAATATATGTGAAGATAGGTAGGTAGGTACCTACTTTCTAGAAAAACCAATATCTTTCTTTTCATTCCCTACAATCCCCATGGTGGAGATACAGTATGATATGAGTATGGGATAATAAATCGCAATGCGGGGTTGGTGTACGTACTCTGAGTCAATCTTGAGCTATAAAACAACTACAACTATGGCTATGGCTATGGATCCGATGAAGCGTTACACTTGCTTAAATTGCTAACCTACCAATCTTTTTCCATTGCAAAGGAATGGAATAAAAAGCGTCGAGACTGACTGAGCTGAGTGTTTGATCTTACCAGATCTATGCTGTTGCTATATATTAAGGAATCTCACCACCTTGGAAGATTAATACAGCCCAGTGTGATCGATGGATAGTAGGTAGGTAGGTAGGTAGGTACCTGTAGATTTTCAGAATTTCTATTGCTATTAATGTTCAAAATTGAGATTGAGATTGAGATTGAGAATGAAGCGTAGAATCTGAAATTGGAGTTAACAAAAACAAACCTCCAGTTCTCAATTGTATTATCATTATTCATAATTAATAGTTTAAACCAATCTAAACCAAGTTGCTGATAACCACAGGCACCTGCTTGCTTCACTATCACATCACCAGCTATCGACCACACTGATACCGATACAGCCACATCAGCAGCATCGCATTCGCATCCGAAATTCGAAATTCGCCAAAATCTATAGGCTACTTCGGTTTATGTACTTACTCTCAACATAAACAAACACAAAACGAACGGGCGTTTGTATGTTTCGTGCTGATGCCAAATACTAAACGTGTAACGGGAAGATTCTTTGGCATATACTCTGTAAGCTGTACTAACCAGTTACACCGATACTGCTGTGTATTCTGTATTCAAACATTGCCATGAGTTGAAACTCTGCAAAGAAGATGTTGGTAAAATTGAGGCCGATAGAAAAGAGGATATACCATCAACCGAATGGATAAGTGCTGATTTTCACATGATCGCTGTTGTTGACTTGAAGTGCGAAGATTATGGTCCTACTAACGATTCAAACAACCATAAATGAAGATCTCTCATCTCCTCTACGGATGTTCCATCACCATCACCTCCACCGTTTCGTCCGAACGTGTCTTCGCATCTTCCGCAAATGCCAATATCACAATCTCCAGAGTATCATCCTCTGATTCATCCATATTTGACTCGGACAAAGTGATGCCTGAATAGCGGTCCCACGAATCGACTTCTTCTTCACTCGGTATTCCTCTCACCAAGATGACCTTGCGCAGGTGAGGAAAAGCGAAACGGAATCTAGTCATGTTTCCCAAAGCACTAGAGAGACGAAATGGAATGCTGTAACGAGTTTCGCCCCAAAACTGCTCGGCTAGCGCTATTGACTGGATTTGATGTTGGTATGGCAGCGATGGTGATTTGATAGAGAAGTGCTTTGCAATGGCCGTGACTTCGTCCACATACTGCCTCGAACTGAAATAGATGGTATCGCAAATAGGATTGAAGTAGATATCCGCTAGCTGCTTGTCCGTGCCGAAGGACAGATTGTAATGCCGAAGAGCAATTTCACGAGATTCTCTATTTGTATGAAGTATCGCGGGAGCTACACCATAGTTGACGAATCTCTTATCAATAACGCAATAATTTAACTCAAGAATGCGTTGGTGAAAAGCAACAAGTTCCCAAATCTGGATTCTTAACTCCAAAGGGAACTTAGAGAACTTAGAGAACTGGGGAAACGCATTAAGGACATGCATGATCGGATCAATGTTGTGAGAATGATATCGATAAAAGCTCTCCGAAATAATAAGTAATGCAATCCTGGAGGAAACTTTCTGAACCGGTCCAAGATGTTGAAGATGTTGGTACTGAAGAGGAAACTAAAGCGAAGTATCAGAACTTGAACCCCTGATGTATAATTTTCATGTGGTAGTTAATGTACTGAGTATTCGGCTTCATTCCGATGCTATTTGAAGTTTTTCAATTATTATGTTGAATTTGAAAAATTGATATTCGGGATCAACGGACAATAACTTGATGCCGATTGCGAGATACCGGCAACGTCATTTTGCTAATAAATCCCCAAAAATAGAATTTGTAATTTCTTTAAAGAATCTAACGGTCCTTTCGAGGCTAAAAATAACAACGGTACGTACCCCTCAGGACTTACTTCTGGATATGAGATTCTGAATACGATCAAGATAACCTAGTTGGCATGATTGTGATCCACCCCTATTTTCGCCTGAAGCTCGAGGGACGGATGTATGTCGCCGGTAGTGAAAATTTGAAACTATTTTGTTCATGATTCCGTCCCAAACAGAAATATATTTATGGGTACTGCAAACATCAAAATGATTGTTGCTGACCTTGGTATTGATTCGTACTGTACGAGTAAGGTAATACTACCTGTACTCGAGTAATAAGTTACTAAGTTAGCGTTCATTTCTCTTGGCAGGCGTGATGTCCGAACAAAGAAGTCACTTTGAGATCCATCCGAGTCGCTGTTATCACGTCTGACTACCTACTTTTAATCTCCAATGCTTCAGTAGAGCCACGGATATAAAATTTCTCGTGGACTTCCCTTGACTCTTATCAAGCATATAAATGAATGTGCATGGACTTTGCTCTTCATCATGGTCAGTAAATCTATCAGAGATTCTAAACATTTTCATCTGATATCAAGAATAGTCAGACAAGGATAGCTTTTTCGAGCAGCTCTACGCATTAAATGAATCAGGATCAGATTCTGATGGCGGGCCAAATGAATCGCGAGAATTCTTGAAAAAATGCAATAAACCCATTTTGGATCCTCCATCACAAAAAGAGCAAAGTTGCCTACCCCCTTCACCCAAGGAATCAAATTTGCTACCACCTCGAAAGGTATATAAGTCGCTTCTCAAAAATGTTCCTACTTTACAGCGAAGTCACTCTGAGCCAAAAGGCAGTACAAGTACGGCAAAGGATACGGCGAATAGTACAGCGGAAAGATCGTTCGAATTGATTCATAAACGCTCCGGTCTTCAAAGCGAATTGCGTGCTACGGCTTCTGATGGTAGTTCCTTTGAAAAGGAAACTTCGTCGCCTTTAAGAAGTGTAGATAGCTCAACCAAAAGACCAACCATTGATCGCCGGACCATATCAAATCCAACACCAGCTACTTTGGTTCTTACTAATAGTACAGGAATCGCATCGATGCTTAGCAAAAAGAGAAAGGGCGACACCCTCAATAAGGGGGGTGCCAAAAAACCCGCCGGCAAGAAGGAGAAGCCCCTTAAGCTTGTTCCTCCGAAGGATCGGGTCTTCGAGGGACTCAAGTTTTTCTTTCTCCCCAATGATGACAAATCTCCCCTCAGACGTGCTCGTATCACCAAGGCAAGAGAGCGCGGTGCAACATGGGTTAGAGAGTTGAACGAGCTCATCACACATCTCATAATTGATAACTCTTTGACCCGCAAAGATGTCGTGACCTATCTCAAAGTCCTGCCACCAGGAGCCGACATGGTCAATAATGAGTGGTTATTGGATTGCATCGAACAAAAGTATCTTTATGATGCATCCGGGAAGAAATATCTGGTCAAGGATCCCGATGCAGTCATCGAAAAGGAACCAGTTCCGGATACATCAACGTCACAACAGTCGGCTAAATCTCTTCAATTGAAAGCTCCTAATAATAAACCTAACAAGTGGGAATATGTACCTCCGAAACAGACGCCTGAGCGGAGTCAACATTCAGTACCAACCGTTAAGGCTGTTCCCTTTCCATTGGTCTCAGGATCTGAGCAGCAGTTACAACAAAAAGATTCAAACAGTCTAACAAATAAGAGCTTGCAGCTTCTGGGTGAAGATTCTACTTCCGATCCACAACAAAAAGACTTTGGTATACTTAATGAAGCCATCGAATTAGCCAGGGCAACTGAAGGTGTACTCGACCACGACAAATCCGACGATGATTTAACATCAACTTTCAGTGAATTTGATGATACTATCGATGAATCCGACGAGGAAGATCGTCGTCGCTCACCTCTGAAAGGTCCCACCAAAAAGCGACGAACTATTCCCACAGGAAAAGGAAGCCTCGACAATTTCCAATGCATGACTGGTGGAAAAGCCTCAGACGGACCCAATCCCAATGAACGTACAATTGAAATCCTATCTCGAATGCGCGACTACTATGAAAGAATCGGCGATCAATGGCGCACCCGCTCCTACCTCCAAGCATGCGGCCAACTCAAACGCCAACCCACCCTCATCCGCACTTTCGAAGACGCCATCGTGATTCCCAAAATCGGGCAACGCATCGCCAAAAAGATTGAAGAAATCGTTCTCACGGGCCGACTGCGTCGTCTCGAACACGCGGAAGCAGAACCTGATGATAAAATCCTCAAATTATTCATGGGTATCTACGGTGTCAGCTTCAAACTCGCCTCTAAATGGATCAGCCAAGGCCATCGCAGTTTCTCGGACCTCACGACACATATTCGTCTTACACCCAGTCAAACACTCGGCATAGAACATTACGATGACCTGCAACTCCGTATTCCCCGCGACGAAGTCACCGCACTAGGTGCACACATAACCTCCACCGCGGCATCCCTCGATCCAGAAATCGAAATTACAATCGGGGGTTCTTATCGTCGCGGTGCGAAAACATCCGGTGATATTGATATCATCATCAGTAAACCCCACACAACCAGTACCACCCAACTCACCCCCTTCCTCTCCTCACTCGTAAAAGCCCTCACAACATCCCACTTTCTCGTCGCCGCTCTCGCTGTCCCGCATAATAACGAAGGTTCAAAATGGCACGGATGCTGTGTCCTCCCCCCCTCATCCCCATCCCCATCCTCTCCCCACACATCCCCCTCCCCACCAACCTGGCGCCGCATTGATTTCCTCCTCGTACCCGCCTCCGAACTCGGCGCAGCACTCCTCTATTTCACCGGCGACGATATCTTCAACCGCAGCATGCGTTTGCTGGCTGGTAAAAAGGGGATGCGCCTGAATCAGCGGGGTTTATATAGGGATGTGATGAGGGAGAGGGGATCGAGGAAGAAGGTTATGGAGGGGACGTTGGTGGAGGGGAGGGATGAGAGGGCGATTTTTAGGATTTTGGGGATTCCGTGGAGGGAGCCGGAGGAGAGGATTTTGCATTAGATGATAGATGGATGCATGCATGGGATGGGGGTTCGGTGGGTTTGGAGATAAGGGTGAAGGGATGAAGGGGTGCGATTTGGGGGTTTTCGGGGAAGGTGGGTTTGGTTGGGTTGGGTTGGGACTGGATGGGATGGGACTGGACCGGTTGGACTGGACTGTCTCGGGTTGGGCTGAGCATATGGGCACTGAGCGCGATGAGATATGCATCATAATGGTTCTGGTGGGTGGGTTTTAGGGTGAGCACAGCATAGGGATAGGGATAGGGATAGGAATTGGGATATTGTTACACCAGCATTTATTTGCATAGGAAGTACGTACTCGGATATATTTATATTACCCATAACAAAGATTTTCAGATTGTGATCATGGGATTATGATTATGGGATTGTGATTATGGTATCCAAATATTTATCATCCAAATCTCGTTGCTCGTTGTCGTTAGTTATGTCAAGTACCTTGAATGTCTTATTGTACCGAGTTTTTCAACTAATGTACAAGTGAGTATACATACGAGTATACGCATCAACATGCACACTATCAGAATCAGAGTAAAGAACTTAGCAAATCATCTTAGCCACGCCACTACAGTATCATTCAAGATAGTCTTCGTTTATTCAAAATGAGGATACAGAAATATTGAAAGAAAGTTTATTTACCATAAATACATTGTCCCGATTAGATTAAATACACATTTGAAGATCCAACTGATAAACCATCTACTCTTACTCTTTTGGTTCAGGTCTAACGACTATCGTCGGTAAATCCTTGATATCTACATGTTCCTGAGTTCCCAAATCCACCACCCTCACTGCCTCTACCCCTACAATTCCTTCCTTCAGCGCCATGAATTTCAATTCCACTTCGTAGCATGCTAGTGGTGCAAGTGGTCCTACACGGGTATCTGTGCTCAGACATACGACTTCGCTGGACTCCATGGCTGAGTTTCGTTGCATGGCGTAGATTATGTTGTCATCGAGGACAGCATCCGCAACCTTTGGATCGCGACGGGCGCTACCATGACCGGCAGAAGGAGGGCGTGTTATGCGAGCTTCGGTTCGACGCCGTTTCGGCAAGACAAGGAGGGCAAGCTTGCGAGGTCGATCGGATCGATTTACTATAAAGATGGACCAGATGAAGGGGTGACCTGGATATATGGGAGATGTAGATGGAGAGGAGAATGTCATAGTGACGCCAAAATCTGGCACAGAATTTTGATGGCGATGGTGCGGACGTGACGTGGGGGTAGATTCGACTATTGGGAGAGCATCGGGATGGTTGATTGCCAAGGAAGAGATTGTTGGAATACTGTCAAACGTTGCGCCGATAGACAGCGCAGAGGGTCGATGAGCACGTTGAATAGGTTTCGTAGGTTGACCAAAGCCGTTATTGATCGGAGGTGTGAAATCGAGGGATGTAGACCATTGCATGATGATCTGTGGTTTACAGACAGCATTGACGTTTGCCGTGGCGGTAATGGAGATATCGATGGCTCGAATTTGAGACTTATTCGTCGCGTCAATGTCATCAGGCAATATCCGATACAGGAAGCTGATATCATCTTGAGGTCGACAATTAATTGGGAGTATTAGTCCAGGGATTTGATTTAATCCTTGTACCTCTCCACCATGCACTTTTATATGGAGATCTGTGAGGATAATGTCACAATTCACGAATGGTGTAATATCAACATCAAGCGAAGCTATTATTGAAGTATTGTTGGGTGTACCATTCGGCCTTGTATACCGCACACAGGCATTTATAGCTGGGTATGCTTTGATTGATTGCCGCGAGATGTTCTTCAGGGGACGAGCCAAGTCGCGAGCAATTTGCGCTGCTGGAGCGACTCTTGCGACTCGTAATGCAGACAGTCGTGGTTTGATACCTTTGAGATACTGATCGCCACTGAAAGCCTCAAGAAGGTTCAACCCTGATGGTACCTGGCTTGGGAGATATTCCTGTCGCAATGTATTTGTATCAACTTGCTCGGTTGCTTTGAGTTTCGCTGTGGCTGCAAACACCACAGAAGGGCTTTGAAGACGCAGCCGTGGTCTTGCAAGAAATGCAGATAGCTTCCAGATCAGAAGTATGTGACCATCGTTATTGGCGTCATCGGCCTCATCTGAGCCTTGTACAACTATCAATGGCTCATCGGTGTCTTGTACCGAACCCTTGTATATAAGCTCACGCCCCGCCGAGCTATCTTGATGCTCGGTATTTGCATTTATAACCTGCGCTTCCACATTTATTATGAGTCTGTTGAGATATGATCGAAGAGATCGCTCGTCAAAGTAGGGTGTTTGTAGAACGACATAAATGTTGACGGTTTCATCTAGGATCTACGAATGAGTAAGATAGAGAGCTTCTTCAGTAACTCGGAGGACGAACCAAAATAGAGAGCTTGCCTCTGAGGAATGGCAGCTAATGGAGAACCACTGCCCTCGTCGAGCTTTTCTACACTACCACTCAAGGCCTCCTCTATGTTCAAATCGCTAGCCAAAGGAATAATTGTGTCCAAAATTGAGCTTTCGGTGAACTCTAAGCTACCCCGAGGAACTGGCTCCTCTTGCAGTTCTTCCATCATTGTGACTAGATTTTGATAGAAACATAAATTGAGTAGATTGTTGCTTGTTATATATTTTTAAATGGCATGATTACCTTGATTAGCCGTCGAATTAATGAATTTGTGTGTTGTTATAACTTTAGAAACTTGAAAGGAGAGTTGTAGGTAATAGCCACAGATAGTGTCCTATCTGAAAGCGCGCTAATTAGCGGCCGAGCAAAACCGCGAACCATTTTTTGGAATTGGCAAATGCGATCTTCCCGTACACGCTTTTGGTAACAACTCAACCACGAATTCGCTTTTACGGCTTCAGTTCCATCAATATGAACGGAATAAATGGTCACTTAGCTGCCCCTGCGCTCTGGCAGGAGGCGCGAAATGCAGATGGACGAGTTTATTACTACAACACTATCACGAAGGCGACGCAATGGACCAAACCAGAAGATTTGATGACACCTGCAGAGGTATATTTCATGCATCCCTACGATAAAGTATGGTATAGCTTTTACTGACACGTCATGCAGCGTGCCCTATCGAATCAGCCATGGAAAGAATACACGGCCGAAGGGGGTCGGAAATACTGGTATAACACTGAGACGAAGCAAAGTTCATGGGAAATGCCAGATGTATACAAGGAGGCAATGTCAAAAGAGGCCGCATCGCCGGCAGCTGCTGCCGCACCGTATGTATTGCATGGAAAACGCAGATATCCTGGCCCTGACTTTAATTTTCTAGAATGCCAACCTTCGTCGCAGGAGGTGGCTTTTCGGCCTCCCAGTATGATCAGCCACGAGACAGAGAACCTTTAGGAGAAGCTCGTCAGATTGCATATGGCAATGATGTTAATGGAAGTCGTGCTCAAGCTTTTGTACCTGCTAACAACGATCCCGATTACTCTACGTTCGAAGAAGCAGAAGCTGCTTTCCTCAAGCTTTTGAAGCGAAACAATGTTAAACCTGACCTTACATGGGAAGAAGTTATGCGATCGATTATCAAGGATCCTCAATACCGAGCTCTCAAGGATCCCAAGGACCGAAAAGCTGCGTTTGAGAAGTATGCCGTTGAGGTTCGCCTGCAAGAAAAGGATCGTGCAAAGGAGAGGCTTGAGAAGCTCCGTTCTGATTTTGCTACCATGCTGAGAAGCCACCCAGAAATTAAACATTACACCCGATGGAAGACAGCTCGACCTATCATCGAAGGAGAGACGATCTTCCGTTCTTCGAACGACGACGATGAAAGGCGTCAATTATTCGAAAATTATATCATCGAACTCAAGAGGGCGGATATGACAAAGGAGGTTTCAACGAGAAAAGCCGCGATGGACGATCTCGTCGATCTTTTGAAAGGATTGAATCTTGAACCATATACAAGATGGTCAGAAGCACAAGGTATCATCCAGTCAAATCCACGTTTCCAAGGTGATGAGAAATTTCAGACACTCAGCAAATCGGACATGTTGATTGCATTTGAGAATCACATCAAATCTCTTGAGAAGACATTCAATGATGTTCGACAGCAGCAGAAGACCCAAAAGTTAAGGAGAGAGCGTCAGAACCGAGATCGCTTCACAGGTCTTTTACGAGATCTCAAATCTGGAAATAAAATTAAAGCAGGATCAAAGTGGAGTCAAATTCATCCTTTGATTGAGAATGATGATAGGTACGTTGCCATGCTAGGTCAATCAGGGTCTACCCCTCTGGACCTCTTCTGGGATATGGTTGAGGAAGAGGAACGCGCATTGCGCAGCACACGAAATGATGTTTTGGATGTTCTTGATGTAAGTTCAGTAGACCTTAGATGTGATCAAACTCAGCTGACCACTTTCTAGGATAAACGGTTTGAAATCCAGCAAAAGACTCCGTTTGAAGAGTTCCTAGCATTGATGCAGAATGATCGACGAACTGCTAACATTGATCGAGACTCATTGTTGCTAATATTTGAACGCGTCAGTACCTTTTCGTTGCCACAAACTGCCTTGGCTAACCATTGACATAGTTACGCGAAAAGATCTCTCGGAGAAATGAAGATGATAAGCATCAAGCCGAGCGCCATCAACGCCGAGCGGTGGACAGCTTGAGATCGTATATTAAGCATCTCGAACCTCCTGTTCGCAGTAGCGATGAATATGAACGAGTTTGCTCTCGTTTCGAAGGATCCGAGGAATACCTTGCCGTAACAACAGATGAACTCCGACGTTCTGCTTTCGATAAGGTAATTCGCCGGCTTAAAGAAAAAGAGGAAGACTCCCAAAAAGATCGAACCAAGCGTCGTGATAGAGCTTCGGTCGATCGTCCCACTCACAAAGATCGCGAAAGAGAGCGAGGACACCGCTCCGGCGGTTCCACCCTTCATGACAGACGCAGCCGATCACCAGAACCTGATGCATATGAAGCGGACAGACGAAAAGCCATTGCAGACCGCGAGAAGAACTACCGAAAAGGCGGCATGGCTGACACTTTACTTTCCCCAAGCCGTCGTGATAGGCGTGATCCTGATGTCCACGATCGTGAACGCGACCGTGATAGACTAATGCGCGATCGTGATCTTGATAAGCCTCGCAGTAGACGAGAAGACTCGTTGAGTCATTACGAGCGAGAAAGGAGAGACCGCGAAGACGAGAGAGAGAAGCTCTACAGAAGACGTGGGGATCCTCGAGGTAGCATCGATGAGTTGCCTTACGGCGATGAAAGATCCAGTGGACCCAGAAAGAGAAGAGAAAGTGAAGCGGACACTCGCAGGGATAGTAAGGTTCGTCGCGTCCTCCGCCGATTGGTTTACACCTTTACTTTCATTTCAAGTTATTGTTTATAACCCCCGAAACTAACGTAAGCCCCCAAAACAGAGAACCAGGAGAGAAAACACACCTAAACAACGTGAGCGCTCCCCAGTTCCCCCACGTGAACGGCGTCACAGGACTAGGACACCACCTGCTGCGAAAATACCCGCCAAGGAAGAGCTTGCTCTCCATTCGGGTAGCGAAGAAGGCGAGATCGAGGAAGAATAGAGTTTTAAATTGGACCTTTCTTTCTATGGTCAAAGTCAAGGTCAAGGTCATCATGCACCATTCAAATTGGAGAAATTCGCCATATCTGTACGTACCCGCACGCACCGTACTTCCATTTTTGGCTTGATGATATCGGCAAGCAGGCAGTCTACGATCAAATGGGATCCATGCGATCCAGCGAACGCTGTGTATTGCTCGAGTTTGAGCAACGGAGACGAGAAATGGAGAGGTGAAAGGAAGGAGAAAAGTGAAGAGAGCATGAAAAATTCGGTGTGTATTGTTTTCCTCTAATGATTTATTGACAGCTCGCTCAATAAATATCCTTTCCGCGAAAACACATTCAGAAATATGTAAAATAATAAGAGTTTGCCAAATCCTTGTTTCTTTCAATTAGATTGCAACTACATTGCATCGTACTTCTTAGATAATCACAATCCGTGAAATACTTTCACCAATCTTGACGACAGTCATCCAAATTCATCCAGTGCCCCTCAATCTACTTTGATTAACCATCCTGTATAACGTGAATTCTTCAAACTTTGGTGATCATCGAAGTAGGACCAGGCATCAGGAGGATAGACTGTCGTCGCCCTTGTTAGCCGCCCGGATCGTCATCCTGGTCCGAGGCAGCGCTTTCATCTATTACCATGCCCTCCCTGCCGCTTTTCCCAGGCTCCTGAAATGCCGACCCCGTAACGCCATGCAATGCATTTTTTGGAGGAGGAAATGAATCGTTCTCAAAGACCTCTTCAACTAGAAGTAGCAGTAGTAGTAGTAGCAGGAGTAGCAGTTTCTTCGTCTTGATCCAAGAAGAACTAGATAATGTTAGTAAGAACAAATGTGAAATTTTGGCAATTGGTACTCACATAGTTGCCGTTCAACTTCTGCTCCTGGTCCAATTGAGAGTTGAGCTTGTTGATACGAGGTCTGTAATTAGTTGGATCACGACGGAAAGTGACATCAAGATTCTTTAAAAACTTATTACAACCAGTGAGTAATGACTCAGGTGTATTGGCGCGAGCGTTAATACCAGGCTCGCCGTCAAAGACAATAACACGATCCGCGAGATAAGTAGCCATGATGAAATCGTGCTCAACGATGAAAGCAGTTTTCTTCGAGTGCATGATGAATCTCTTAATGACACGGGCAGCAATAATACGCTGTTCGGAATCGAGATAGGCAGAAGGTTCATCGATGAGATAGATGTCGGCGGGGATACCGAGTGCAAGTACGATAGCCACACGTTGCAATTCTCCTCCGGACAAGGTCTTTACTTCTTGATCGATAAATTCTTCAAGTTTAAGGGGCTTGACGACGTCGGTTTGAAATTGAGGCATGAGAAAAGCAGTCTTAATCTTCTTGAAGAACAATTGTCTGACTGTTCCTTCGAACTTAGGCGTAATCTTTTGAGGCTTCATGCTGACCTTCATTCCTGGCACCTTTTGGTTGCCATCAGGTAGAGTGGCACCAGCGAGCATCTTACAGAAAGTGGTTTTACCAGTACCGTTCTCTCCCATCATGACGACAATTTCAGAATCGGTGAAATCTCCTGTCTCAATGGACAAGTGGAAATTACCGAGGGTTTTTTCCATGGATGGATATTGGAATGCTCGAGATCTGTCTGCCATGAATTCATCGGCCGCCTCGGCAATCTTGAAAGTTAGAGACTCCTCTCGGAACCGCAAGTTTTCCGTTGGAATGTTACCGTCCAAGAAGATATTGATACCTTCCCTGACAGAGGCCGGGAGAGTCACAACACCGTAGACGGCTGGCTTTCCGTACAGAACACAGATGAAATCCGACAAGTAATCTAACACTGAAAGATCGTGCTCGACGCAAATAACATAGTCATTAGGTCGCAATAATGATCGAATAATTCGAGCTGCGCTAAGACGTTGCTTTACATCCAAGTAGGAAGATGGCTCATCGAACATATAGCTACATTATAGTCAGTGAGAATTAATGAAGGTCTGTGAACACCACTTACACATCGGCCTGCTGCACACAAACAGTTGCAATAGCAAATCTTTGTAATTCTCCACCAGATAAAAGATTGACATCTCGGTCCATGATGTGATTCAATTCTGAAGCAATGTCAGTAGTGCTACAAACGTATATATGATGTCAAACCATACCCAAAACGTCGCAGACCTCCTTGAAGTTATCCATTGATGCAACACTTTCGATCAAACCTCGTACAGTCTTATCTGGTCCTTTGATAGCTCGTGGAATTCGGTCAACATATTGAGGCTTCACAATCGCTTTCAAATCATCTTCCAAGATCTTGGTGAAATAGTCTAAAGTAGTATAAGCGCATGCAGGCAATTATAAAGGAGTCGAGCCACATACTTTGCAACTCTGAACCACGGAAGTATTTGATGACATCTTGCCAATCAGGCGGATTTTCAAATCTACCCAAATTTGGCTTTAACTTTCCGCTGAGAATCTTGAGAGCTGTACTCTTTCCGATACCGTTGGAACCAACCAATCCCAAAACTTGTCCTGGACGTGGTGTAGGCAATCGATGCAATTTGAAACTGTTGGCAGAATATCGATGAGTTACGTGAGACTCCAAATTCGTCGGCAGATTGATAATATTGATAGCACCGAATGGGCATTTCTTAGGACAGATACCACATCCAATGCAGAGATTCTCGGAGATGAAGGCAATTTTCGACTCGGGGGATACTTCGATACAAAGACGACCACTTCGCACAACCGGGCAGGACTTTTTGCATTCTTGTCTACATTTCTGCAAATATAGTAATTAGCAACTTGAAGAACATGTCAAGAAGAGTAGCTAAGCATATTTACCTTTGGCTTGCACTATTTATTTGGTGGATATTGTCAGTGAGTATTCAGATGGCGGGGTATGTGGTGGGGCAAGGCTCAACGCAGAATTTGTCGCACCTTGTCACTACTGATGATAGCGATACTAGAGATGAGAAGATTAGCAAATTGCTGTCAAAAGGCAGGTATTGACTATCGCATAGATGAGAAGTGCAATGTCCGGCGATGTTGTGAAGTTTGAGAAGAACTGCATACCGGGTAAGTTTGTCAGACATCTTGAATGCTGTTGCTCTCACAGAGCACTGGAAATTGATGGAAAAAAGAAAATTGATTAAAGTTTCTGCACAATCGGCAGCTTTATTGATAAGCTGGGGATGAGCTGTGGTTGATCTTAGACTTCTTTATTCTTTAACTTGTGCAAGACTGAAATGATGCAGAAACTGAAAGATGGATGGATTATAGGGTCAGTCCGTCAGTCAGGTTATTAGATAAGTATCTTCTAATGTGATAAAAGATTAAAAAAAGTAGAATTGGGCGTTTGGACCACAGTATTTCAAATTGAAATTCGATTATTATACAATCACTATCATTGGTTGGCTAGAACAAGTTTATAGTAAATGAAGCCTTGTCCTCTTCTTTGTACCCCACCCATTACAGCCATTATAGAATCTCACTACAAATGATCAGAATAAATCACACCAAATTTATCTCCTATCTTTAAAATTATATATCAATTCAAATAATCGAGAATATCTACAAATTAATTAGATACGCTTATTCATTACCTTCTCTACTATAAGAATTCATTTTTCAATTTTCAGAAATCTGTCCTCCGGTTATATTAATATGACCTATATTAGGGTTTACTACTTCTTGGTTTAAAGTTCACTCATAAGTCACGTGGACTTCATGTACTAGGTAGCAGATCCAACCAGAATCTGCCTAGTTCTTCTCGGTTAAGTACGGCAGCCTACGATTCTGTCAATCCATCATTAATCACTGCACTGATAGAAAGTCATCCATACATATCATTGTAGACTTTCAGATCCGCTCTCCATTTTTAACGTCCGAAGTCTACAACATCACAACACCGTCTACCTCCATATTCTTTATTTCACTGATTGTGTCTTAATTATTCTGATACAAGGGGGGCCTTTCTCAATATGGCTTGTAAGTTTTCCCGTTCTCCTATGAAATCCTACACAAAAGAATGGTGTACTTTTTACCCAATGTCATTATGATGAATCTGCCATCCTCGAATGTCATCATTTCCATCTTTATATCTTCTTGTACAGTCCTCAAAACTATATAGAGTCCCAGTATCTTCACTCATATCACTCTCCTGTTGCTGTTGCTTCCCTGTTCATGTCCTTCAGCACACAAATTGTCTCCTAGCTGGCCTCAATCCATCGGTATCATTCCATCAAACTTCATCGTGAAATCACCATCAAGCACACGAGAATGCGCCGATGACATTCAGCATATCGTTGTTGCTGGTTTCTTTGCAATTATGGTGTATCTAGGATCGCGGGTTATTTCCAAAGACATTCATGCGATTATCAGAGTTTTCACTACACGGAATCATGAGGTCATACCCTTCATAATAGCTAATATCGTCGTCGCAGCCCCGCAGGATACATTCGAAGTCATGAACTCGACATCCCCGTTACATTTGTCCAATGGACACGATGAATCATTCGCAAGATCCTCGCCATCGAACGATGACGCTCCAGGCGAAAGCGAGTCCGAACTGTCCGATGTTGGCAACCCTACTGTCGATGAAACCTCACCGGCCCCCTCAAACCACCGACCAGAATTCGGTGCTCAGGATTCCGATGCTTCTGAAGACTCGTCGCCTGAAGATCAAGAACAATCTGATGATGCGGATTTTGATGAGGAAGACACTCCTGCAGCCGCAGCTTTCAATGGCCAACGATCGGAGCGTTCGAGCACTGTCGAGTCATCCCGTCCTGTTAAACGCAAGTCAGGCGGCACTGATCAAGATCGATACATGCTAGAGAATCCCGAACTATATGGCTTACGAAGAAGCGTAAGGCTCCCCAATCTCATCTCTTCGCAGAAGTATGCTAATGGATTTTTGCTACCATAGGGGCGTCCGGTACAAACTCGAACTATTGTATGTCGTTCGCGATTTTCCCCCTTCATATGCAGCATATACTACAGTTAGATACAAGTACTGATTGTTATAGGTTGAGTCTGATGAGGAAGAAGACGATGACTCCGATACCGTTGCAACTCACAGAAATAAGCGCAAGAAGCCAGAGCGCTCCCAGCAATGTAGGTCCTTCCTTGCCTTCAGTAAATTGGCTGTCGCAGAAAGCTAATGTTGCATGCAGCTTCCAAACGTCAAACTCCAGCTCTGCAATCTGCATCTGCCTCTGATAACGACGAGAACGATAGTTATGGCAGTATACGAGCACGAAATACTACCAAGAAGAATCGTCGCCGCCAACTAGAATCTGGCAATCTCGCTCTACAATATCAAGAAAAGAGGTGGAATAGCCGTCGTGCTGCGCAAGTCACGACCGGTGCCTATCAGGAAAGCGATCCCGACCTTGAGGATGAATCTGAAATGACACCGAATCAGTGGGCAGAAGATGTCGAAGACACCTCGCCATATATTGATGTTGTCTTAAAGCACAAGATCAAAGATGGTAAAGATTTAAAAGATGAGGACCTCACAAAGGATAGTTTTGACTACTACATCAAGTGGCAGGGTAAGTCCCACTGCCACGCTACTTGGGAGACAACAACATCTTTGACCGGCGTTCGTGGTTTCAGACGTCTCGAAAACTATTACAGAAAGATTGTCCTCGAGGATATCTACATGACACAAGGCGTGGATATACCACCAGAAGAGAAAGAAAAATGGATGCTTGATAGAGAACGTGATGCAGATGCTCTAGAGGACTATACAAAGGTCGAAAGAGTTATTGGCTCGCGAGAAGGTGATGAAGAAGTCGAATACTTCATCAAGTGGAAGGCTCTCTACTACGAATCTTGCACGTGGGAAACTGCTTCATTCATCAGCGAAAAAGCTCAAGATGCTATCGACCACTTTTTGGATCGCAGCTCTAGATCTTTGGTATCAGATCGAAAGGAGTCAAACCCGGATACTAGAAGCCCTCACGCCCCTATTCGTGAACAACCAGATTATATCAAGAACGGTCAACTGCGAGATTTCCAAATCACTGGCCTCAACTTCCTGGCATACAATTGGTGCAAGAACAATAATGTCATTCTCGCTGACGAAATGGGACTTGGCAAGACTGTACAGACTGTTGCTTTTATGAATTGGCTCCGCAATGATAGAGGACAGGAAGGCCCACATATCGTCGTAGTACCTCTGACGACCATTCCTGCTTGGGCTGATACCTTTGACCATTGGGCACCAAGTCTCAACTATGTTGTTTACAATGGTAAAGAATCATCTCGTCAGGCTATTCGCGAGTATGAGCTGCTGGTTGATGGAAATCCTAAGCGTCCAAAGTTTAATGTGCTTCTTACTTCCTACGAGTACATCCTGGCCGACTCTAACTTCTTGGCACAAATTAAGTGGCAATTCATGGCCGTCGACGAAGCTCATCGTTTGAAAAACCGAGAATCTCAGCTATACGTAAAGTTGCTTGATTTCAAGGCTCCCAGTCGTTTGTTAATCACCGGTACTCCAGTCCAAAACACCTTGGGCGAGTTATCGGCCCTCATGGACTTCCTCATGCCAGGTGAAATGGACATCGAAGATGATTTGGACCTTACTGATGAAGCTGCGGGTGAGAAAATTGCAGCACTTACTACCAAAATTCAGCCATACATTCTCCGTCGCACAAAGCAGAAAGTGGAGAATGACTTGCCACCGAAAAGCGAAAAGATTATTCGCGTCGAACTCTCGGACGTTCAGCTGGAATACTACAAGAACATCCTTACTCGCAATTATGCTGCGTTGAATGAGGGCTCTAAAGGTCAGAAGCAGTCCCTGTTAAATATAATGATGGAACTCAAAAAGGCCAGCAATCATCCGTATATGTTCCCCAATGCAGAGGAGAAGATCTTGAAGGGTAGTGAGAGACGAGATGATCAGTTGAAGGGTTTAATCGCTAGTAGCGGAAAGATGATGCTTCTTGATAGATTGTTGGCCAAGCTCAAAAAGGACAACCACCGTGTCTTAATCTTCAGCCAAATGGTGAAGATGCTGGACATCCTTGGCGATTATCTTCAACTTCGTGGATACCAGTTTCAACGTCTCGATGGTACAGTTGCTGCTGGCCCAAGGCGCCAAGCCATCGATCATTTCAACGCCGATGAAAGCAATGACTTTTGCTTTCTTCTTTCCACCCGTGCTGGAGGTCTCGGTATCAATTTGATGACGGCTGACACGGTTGTTATCTTCGACTCGGATTGGAATCCTCAAGCTGATTTGCAAGCCATGGCTCGCGCACACCGTATTGGTCAGAAGAAGCCTGTGAGCATCTATAGACTGGTCTCCAAGGAAACTGTCGAAGAAGAGATTCTTGAGCGTGCTCGTAACAAGCTCATGCTGGAGTTCATTACTATACAACGAGGTGTTACCGATAAAGAGAAAAAGGAGCTACGAGAAAAAGCTGCTAAGGCTGGTAAAATCGATGATCCCAAATCTTCCGAGGATATTTCTCGTATTCTCAAAAAGAGAGGCCAGAAGATGTTCGAACAATCTGGAAATCAGAGGAAGCTTGAAGAGCTAGACATCGACTCGGTTCTCGAAAATGCCGAAGAGCACAAGACAGAAGTACCAGAAGGCATGGTAACAGATGGTGGTGAAGACTTCCTTAAAAGTTTTGAATACACCGACGTCAAAATCGACTTGGAATGGGACGACATTATTCCAAAAGATCAATTGGAGGGAATCAGAGCTGAGGAAGAAAGACGAGCTCACGAAGAATACCTCGCTAAGGTCGTCGAAGAGAATGCACCACGTAAGGCTGCCATGAAGAATACAGCTGAGATTGAAAGAGAGCAGCGCCTCGCAAAGAAGCGTGAGCGTGACCAAGCTAAGCAAGAAGAGCTTGACGAAAAGAGAGAAGCTCAAGCCAATCGTTTAGATCCGAAGCGACCTCTTAACGAAAAGGAAGTGAGAAATTTGATGAAAGCTTATCTTCGTTACGGCTCAATGGAAGATCGTGGCGAAGAACTAGTGAAAGAAGCTCGTCTTGTGGGCCGTGATGAAGACATGATGAAAGACACTCTACAAGCCCTTACCGAGGAAAGTAGCAGGCGTTTAAAGGAAGAGAATGACAGGGTTGAAGCACTGGAGCGTGCAACAAATAAACCGTTGACTAAAAAAGATAGAAAAGCGGTATTGTTTGATTACTCTGGAGTAAAGAGAGTCAACGCTGAGACTATCATGGAACGTCCGGGCGAGATGAGAATGCTTAGGGATGTTGTCGGAAATTCTTCTGATTTCAAAACCTTTCGCGTTCCCGACGCATCCAAAGGTGCTCATTACTCGTGCGACTGGGGTGCTAAAGAAGATGGCATGCTTCTCGTCGGGATCCATAGGCACGGCTATGGTGCTTGGACTCAGATTAGAGATGATACTGACTTGGGACTTGGTGACAAGTTGTTTCTCGAAGAACATCGAGTAGACAAGAAAGAAGAAAGAAGTAAGGCAGATGAAAAGGTCGCCAAGGCTCCTGGGGCTGTTCACTTGGTCAGGCGAGCGGACTATCTTCTGTCTGTTCTGAAAGCTAAGTATTCTGATAATCAAGCTGCCAAGCGTGCCGTAGAGAACCATCATCGAAACAACAAAAAACACGAGCGGAACGGATCCAGAAGATCCGAGACAAGAGGCTCCGTTTCTGCTTCTCCTGCTCCACCGATTAAGAAAGGATCTCGACCATCCGATCACAACAGTCGTGATCGAGAACGAGATAGAGCCCGGGGTCACAATCTTAACGACTCCCGCGATTCTCGTCGGGAGAGCGGGGGTCATGGTTCTTTGACTCCTGGTGTGAAAAGAAAGTATAGCGATGGAGACGATGAAAAACCTGCAGACCGTCGTCCCAAATACCGTAAATCCGACAATGGTGAACCGGATCAGTACGACATGCTTCGCAAACTCTTCAAGCCAATCAAGGAAAATCTTCGACGTTTACAAGCTGGAACAGCTAAAAATATTCCAAACAAAAAAGAACGTGCTGGCGTGTTGAAGGAGGAGCTGTATAGTACTGGACTGTTTATTGACTCTATCCTTGAGCCCAAGAAGGACGGATCCGTTGACGATAAACTGAAGAGTAGTCTTTGGTGAGTTTCTCCCCTCCTCGATTTCCAAAGGTTGCATTTACTAACGTTCTCTAGGGCATATGTAATGTCTTACTGGCCTAATCCAGGACAATCTACTGCAGCAGTGTCAAAAATGTATGACAGAGTTAGGGGAGAAAGGCTTAAATCAGAAGATTGAGACGAGAAGTTGTAAAGAGGTGTTTGACACGCTTTCATGGGAATGCCACAAAGTGCTTAAGCTCACGTTGAGAGGAAGTAATGTCTTGAGGAATCGTTGCATTGGCGTTTAGATATTCCTGATGGGGTTTCTGGTATTTTACTTGGCTCAGATCACGGCATGGGTTGGGTTGGGTTGGCGCATAGTGAGTAAATCATGGGAGGTTTCATGGCGGATGGAGTTGCTATAATTCTATTGTATGGGAGACGGGAAAATCATTGTGCGGATTGGACCGGCGTTTTGGTTGACTTTGCTGCACCGGAGCAATATCAAGCAACGTATACTACTCAAATTGATCTACGACACGACACGACACGAAAACTTGTACAGAAACTACCGAGGTGAAAAGTGTCAATCACCCTTTGCTTCATAAGACGATAATAGAGCTAGCTAGTTATACAAATATTGTAAAATTCCAATGTTTTTCAAATGAAGCGATACAGTATCCCTCCCTATATATCCTCATTTATAGGATTAATAAGAAGAAACAATTTTCAATTCAAAGGGTTAGGTAGTTAGACTTCTGGGAGTAATATTAGTCAGAGCTGACTACTCGAGTACTTGGTACCTAGGTAGGTAGTACAGGTACAAGTAATTAATACTTAATAACTCGAATACAAAGCCATATTCTTTTTCCCGAGGTCCAATGAAAGGAAGGCTAGTTAATCCCGGCCCACGCTAATCTCCGCAAATATTATTTTGCAGTCAGATCTTAAAAACTACTTACTTCTTTTCTTCATCTAGACGAAACCTAATATTCACGACATGAGGGATGTCACATTTACTTCTATTTTACATCATCGAACGATAACAGACTTAGGTGCGACGATACTATATAGTACATCCATCAAGTTGTACCATTAATCTTTTGAAGCTGGTGTTCATGTTGCGTCGCGTTACATTTCGTATTGTACGAAAAAGGACTTTAGTGACTCAGGAAGGATGCGATCCTAGTATGATTGTCCAAATCTCAAGCGACTTTTTACGGTTTAAAACGCCACGACGGACGCTTACTGCAATTGGCTTTGCTGGCATTTTTGGAGAATTCGAGTGGCCAATGGCAAAGGGGAGAGGATTCAGAGGAGCGATGTTGGCAGAGGAGATAGAGGCACAGCACTGGAATGAATGGACGGATTATGATATACGCAGTATACGTGCGACTTGTGATGCGGGTACGGGATGAGATATTTGAAAGGACAATACTATTGGCTGGTCGCGATGAACTCAAACAGCCTTGTTTGTGTGGACTCTGTGCCGAGTATGTTTGTTCAGATATGCTTTAGTAATGTCTGGATCTCGAGCTCGTGTCAATTTGGGTTTATTGGAGCCTAAATGATCAAGTGACAGTTGTGCAAATATTCCGAAGGCGCGAAAGAATGTTTTTTACAATTTACAACTGGAAATAAAGACAGGGGCTAGGAACGGCTGATGGGTTGCACAGTATTTTGTCGCGGGTATTGGCCACTCATATCACCTCGCCGTACTTGTGCTTCATGAATGAGCGTAAGATATCCAATTCGAGCTGGAAAAAGAGGAAATATGTCAAACAAATATGGTAATAAGACCGGTATTCGGCAAATTGACCAACAGCAAAAATGTCTGATGTATCATGAAGGCATTCAGAGGCTTGCAGATTTTCAGCCTTCTACCAGCTCATCTACGCAAGTGCGCTGTGAGATGTACGGGGCACGAGTTCTTGGCTTACTCGGCTACAGTTTACGAACACAAATCTGCATGGTAAATCAATATTATTGATGGTAAATTGAACTAACTCGGACATATGTCAGTCAAGACTTTTGGCTCAAGAGCTTCTTGTTGTCACGTTTACGGATCTTGACTTTTATCATCTTCAAAGTCTTCTTTTATTATATTTTATGCCTATTAGACCCTTAATTTTGCTAGCTTTTGATTCATTACTTCATACACTTTCTATTTGCCATCTTTTATTCTCTTCAAACCCCTTATTTCTTCAAAATTTGTCCTACAATTCGGTCCGACTTACTCGTTTTACAAGGAATTAAGTAGAAAGCTACCCTGGTATATTGTATAACTTTTGTGACACCACTTTACGCCATGTCCCCCGCATGTCTCAACCCCGACATTAGTCGATCTTCCCCACGAGGGCAACACCTCCGCATTCTAAGGTGTTGTATGGTCTAGAGTCCCCGAATTCCTCAAAACGGTTTAATATAGATGAGATTGTAGGAGTTAGACTGCAACCATCATGTATATCCCCGGTTACTTGGCAACCGTGTATGAGGAATAGGCTGATAACCAAAGATTTTCCTGGGAAATGCGGAGTACAGAGCGCGTGCACATTCTCGGAAAATTAGTCGTAGCCTCGCAGGGGGTAGCTCTTTCGTGGTTCCTTTTTTTTGACAAGTTCGAGGGAATTCTGATTCACTTCGTGCATACTGACTGGTCAGAGAAGGGCCGGTTGGAAGTACCAACTTCAGCAGTGGGCAAGTTTCATTTGTTGTGTGCATACATATAAAGGCTGGAGAGACCCCCGGGGCTTTTACAATCAGTTATCTTGATCTCTGTTGATCTTATCAAGCTACCTCTTCTATACTCATATAGGGCAGACAATAACACCTTTTTATATCAACTGAGTAGCAACAGTCTTCATCATGCCTGGAGGAGCAGTTGTTCATGGCACGACCGATACGTCTCGTGTAAGTAATGATTTCTCTAGCTATCATCGCCGTTTTGGATGTCAGTCAAGCTCTTTCGAGGTTTCTATCTCAATGGCTACACATGATTGATGATTGAAGTTATTACATGTCAATTTGTCATATCCTTCTGTATAACAATGCTAATCAAAGAACTTTCAGATCGAGGCGCCAGTGACTTTGAAGGCATACTTCATGTAAGTTCCGTGTACCAACCACGAGTCTTTCTAGCTCAAGAAGAATGGCTGATATTCGCACAGGTGTGCTTTTGCAGCATTTGGTGGTATTTTCTTCGGATATGATACAGGTTGGATGTCTGGGTATGTGATTTGATGTCACCATATATTGTACCCATTTATTGATGATTTGAAGTGTCTTGGCTATGCCTTATTTCATCACTCAATACACAGGATTACAAAAGCCCCCCGCAGATGCTCCCAAATCAATTTTGGACGCATTCGCCATCTCTGCTAGCAACCAATCTTTGACAACTTCTATCCTTTCCTGTGGTACTTTCTTTGGAGCTCTCATCGCTGGTGATGTGGCTGATTCCATCGGACGTCGTTTGACTATCATCACTGGTTGTGCAATCTTCTGCGTCGGATGTATCCTGGAAACAGCCTCTACCGGTCTTGGGCTTATGGTTGCGGGTCGTCTAATTGCTGGTCTTGGTGTTGGATTCATTTCTGCTATCAGTAAGTCTTATTGAGTATCAGCTCTCAGCCTCAACTTCGTCTAACCAGATATCCATCACAGTCATCTTGTACATGTCAGAAATTGCTCCGAAAAAGGTCCGAGGTGCCCTGGTCTCAGGATATCAATTCTGTATTACCATCGGAATCTTACTTGCCAATTGTGTCGTGTACGCTACACAAAATCGGACTGACACTGGTTCGTACCGAATCCCAATTGCAGTGCAATTCTTGTGGGCTATCGTCTTGGCGGCTGGATTGTTCATTCTTCCCGAATCACCTCGTTACTACGTCAAGAAAGGTCGTCTTGAAGATGCTGCCAAAGCCTTATCCGACGTTCGTGGCCAGCCAATCGAGTCTGAGTATATTCAAGTTAGTACAATCAATTGGTATGGTATTTTCTCCTAACATGAAAATAGGATGAACTTGCGGAGATTATCGCAAATAATGAATACGAACTCTCCGTCGTACCACAAACATCGTACATTTCTCAATGGACTAATTGCTTTAAGGGTTTGTGACTTCGGAGCATCCGAAAACTTCATCTTGTACTTACACACGTGCAGGATCTATGTTTGATGGTTCTAGTAACGTTCGAAGAACTTTCCTAGGTATCATGCTCCAATGCATGCAACAATTTACTGGTATTGTGCGTGATGTGCTTTTCATCTATCTCTACTCCTCCATGTTATATTATTCCATCCGTTGGAATGTTATCAGACCAAACCATTACTAATCTTTATTCTGTAGAACTTCATCTTCTACTTTGGAAATGTCTTCTTCAAATCTCTCGGAACGATCAAGAACCCTTTCTTGATCTCTCTCGTAACCTCCTTAGTCAACATGTTGACCACCCCTCTCGCATTCTGGACCGTCGAACGCTTCGGTCGTCGTACCATTCTCCTCGTCGGTGCTTCTTGCATGATCACCTTTCAATTCATCGTTGGTATCATTGGTGTCACCGCCGGTGAAGCTGACAGGCATAACACCGCTGCTGTCTCAGCCATGATTGCCTGTAAGTATTTCCTGATCTCCAACTCAACTCTACAACAATACCCACATAACACCATACTAATCCTCAAACCCCAGTCATCTGCCTCAACATCGCCGCCTTCGCCACCACCTGGGGACCCGCCGCCTGGGTCGTCGTCGGCGAAATCTTCCCCCTCCCCATCCGCTCCCGCGGCGTCGGTCTCTCCACCGCCTCAAACTGGTTCTGGAACTGCATCATCGGCGTCATCACGCCATACCTAGTCGGAACTCAAAAAGGCGACGCAAATCTCGGCGCCAAAGTCTTCTTCATGTGGGGTTCGCTCTGTGTCTTGAGTTTGACTTTTGCGTACTTTTTCGTGCCGGAGACTAAGGGTTTGTCGTTAGAACAGGTAGATCGTATGCTGGAGGAGACGACGCCAAGAACGAGTGCGAAGTGGGTGCCGCATAGTACGTTTGCGGGGGAGATGGGCTTGGCGGGTGAGGAGAAGCTGGATCATGTGAATGTGGTGGAGAAGGGAAATGTTTCGGATGGGGCGGCGCCGGCGGAGGTTAATAAGGAGGTTGTTTGAGTTTGAGTGTTTTTGCTTGGAAAGGGGATGGAGAGGAGATGATTGGGGAGTGTGGAGAGTTTCTTGCATATCTGGTAGTAGTTCAAACATGGCATCAGGATTAGTTCAAGCGGGGATTTGGAATTGGGATGAGGGTGGAGATTCATGAGATAGCCTTATAGGTGGGTGAAAGTGATAGTGGTGGAGTGGGGATGGGTGGGTCTTGGATATAGACTATATACAGTACTACTTGATAGAGTAGAATCTGGCAGTTGACGGTTGGTTGGTTGGTTATTTTGTATGTAGAGTTGAACTATACCCAATAATTATTTCGGCTTCTTGATTTGATTTGATTTGTTGTTGTTGCTTTGGTTATTTGTTTACTTAGTATATATCGAGTTATGTTATAGGATGTATTTTCGTACTAAACTATATAGATATATATATATCTCTCTTACTTTACCAACATCAGTATCTATCTAGTCACTCACTCTCTCTTTCATTTCATTCATCCCATTCCAATATTCATACTTCATCTCTAACTCTAACATAATACTTTTAATTTCCTCTCAAACAAAAAGAAAAATGTATACTCGAGTATATATCACTGACATACGAGTATAAAGTAACGAGAGTCGGGATTCGGAAGGGTCAGAGGGAAACATAGTTATAATTACTATAGATATAGTTGAGAATATTATATTATATATACCAGTAATTTTTCTTGGAAATGTATGAACTTCATTATTGATTATATATCCTCCGAGGTAGGAATCGGTCCCTGAACTATTTGGTTTGGTTTGGTTTGGTTTAGTTAATCGATCCTTGTTGGAAAATTTGAATATATAGAGTACACTTGAAGTAACACTTCCTTTAAGTTAATCTCATCCTCGAATATAATTGTTAATACAATGTCATGTCATGTCATGTCATGATATATATCTATATCCTGAGAAATCAATCATCGAGTGCTTTGATATATTGTTTAACAAGGGAGGGGGGGATAGGTAGGGGTTTTCAAGTTGTAAGGAAGATGGGGTGGAATGGGATGGGATGATATAAGAATTTAATATAGGTAGGTATAAAGTAATATCTTCTTCTTCCTATCATTTTCCAGAGAGAGTAAGAAAGAAATATAAATAGAGAGCTTTTATATATATGATTATACTCGAATATATATATGTACAAAGATATTATAAACTAAAGCGAGTACAAATTTGTGATTTGAAATTGTATATATACTCAAGTACGAATCTCGTCTCTTGAGTATCCCCTCTTGAAAGGGGTACTCGCTTCTATTGTTTATTTTCTGATGGTTATAGTGTTATGATTACTCGTAGTTGTGGTTATATATCGTTTTCATTTTTCATTTTTCTAAAGAAAAGGAGGTTTTGGGGTGTGTATATGAGTAATTATGGTTGTGCATAGAAGTAGAAGTAGAAGTAAGGTGTAGATGTTGATAGGTGTAAAGGATTAGGTGAAAGGTGTTAAGTAGAACAAGTAGAACAAGATATAGAAATTAATGGAGAGGTGTGAAAAATCAAGATGAAACATTAGCATTAGCATTAGCATTAGTATTAGGTGGATGGTTTGAAATGTGAAACTTGAAACTTGAAACTTGAAACTTCAGGATATTAACACTAGAAGAAACCATAGGAGGTGATTTGTGAATATGGATGTATGTCTATCTATCGACTCGGATTTATTACTCGAATATAAATTATCTAACACTTAAACTCCAACTCTTTAGAATAAAACTCAAAGATGATGATATACGAGAAACTAAAGGACTGCCTATATTCTATTATTAATAAGTCTACTACCCTACTTTTCGGCCACCCCCCCCTTTTGGGCCACCCTTTCACACCAAAAACAGTGATTTTTGACTTTTATAACTTTCCCAATAATGAATGTAATTAAATAAGATTTTAATGATGAATTCTTTATATAGTTAATAGCTCAGTTACAGACTTTCAGAATTTTAGCGATTTTATAT